CATCCTCTAGGTAGCTCCTTTGCTTTGCAATACTACATTTTGTCCAAATTTTCCTGAACAGAAGTATTATTCAGCATTCAACACCATGTATGCCAGACAACCATCATATAAATAATGGAATAAAAATAAATTATATTTGGCCACTGCAATTACTCATCCAGAAGCTATTGTTCCACGTAGCTTGAGGATATGAGCATGCTGTTTCCCAACATAACTTGACTTTCCTTTGAGCTTACTGGTTGCTACCATAAAATAGGTTAGTATTGTAGTAATTATACAGTGAATATTTTAATAGCAGCATATTCCCTGTCATTTTTGACAGACATGCAATGCTAAAGAAAAATAATTTCCTACTGGTACATGCAGGAGATTTTCATTGAATGAAGTAACTTCATAGAACGAAGTAACACCTAATTCATAAAACTATTTATATTTTTAAGTCAGTTTGCTGAGCCAGCTAAAATTGTTGGCAATATAAAGTGCTATCTCTGCCCAGAAATTCTCTCTTATAACTGGTTGCATTTACAAACCATCAGGTAGCAATATCAGTTAAGCATCTTTTTATGGTCACTAAAATCCATTAAAGAAAATTCTGAAATCAATTAAAAGTCTTGCAATTTAGCCAAAGGTATCCCAGGACATCATTCCACACAACATTGTTTTAACTTTTGTGTCTCCTTGAGGCACTGTTCACCAATGGCAGCAACTCCTGTCTTCCACTTAACGAACTAAGCAAAAACACATTGTCATACATAGAGTCGTTTTTGGAAGGAAAGAAAGAGCTCTCTCATAACTGCAAATACAATCTCCTAAAATACAGCATTGAACATGATATAGTAAATTTTGAAAAAACATACCACTGAACTGATGACACAAAGAAAGTGCTGTACTATCAGCTGTTGAAAAACTCTTTGCATAAACAACCTTACAGAACACATTTGTTCCCAACGTAAAGGCCACTTTACTACATTTAGCAATATTTTTCTTTTACTAACTGCCCTATAGAAATCTGTTATATAATGTGATTTGACAGGGCTGTCCATGTTAAAAATAAAAAATAAAGAATAAAATACAACTGCCTATTGAAAGTTGAAATTGAGAGACAAAACAGTAAAGTTAAAACAGCTAAAACCGCAATAGTCTACTTTTAGCTTCAGATGGATCAGTTCATTAAAAAAGAATTTTTGTAATTATCAAGTTGATGTCAATCATAACTTCTAAAGCACTATGGAGGTCAGACAGGAGATGTAAATCCATACGCAATACACAAAAACTCAACTTCAGGGTACCTCTTATAAAAAAAAGTCAGAAATTTAGTTCAATGCATTATGAAACTATCAGGAACTTGCAACACACTGGGTTTTTGACTTTAGTGAATTTAAAATATATTTATTTCTGTATTTTATTTATATAAAGAACAATTTATTTCAAAGGTTGGAAAAGTACAAGATACAGGCTGATAGCTATTCGGCCATGATGATTTCAGTCATCTCTTTTTAATTAGTTGATTTAAATCAAGTTTACATTTGTAAAAATAATTTGAACACATGTAAATTTTAACAATTTTGTCATTTGCTGTCATCTAGCTACTAATCTCAACAGTGTTAAATTTTGTTTTTACAAAACTGTAATACAAACCAAAAAGTAAAGGAGTAAAGGTCTGGACTCTAAAATAAACTGAAACAAAAACTACTAACCTACACAAAGTATGTAAAACTTTCAAAAATGATATAAACTCACAGGGCTGAATTTTGACTAAAAAGCCAAAGACTTTTTTATTTTAATTTTCTCAGGAAGTCATGCTGGAGACAAGCATCAAAAATAATTACCACCATAAGGTACCTTACATCTGCTGTCACACAGATACATTATTGGTAACGGTACGCTGACAAAGTATTAGTAGTAGTCCCGGACTAGATCACTGACTACTTGAAATGACTGGCAGACAAGTAGTGCTGCATATGCTATGGCTCAGAAACACTTCCTACATAGAGACTTCCAACCCAGAGGCTGCAGCATGGAAACGGCTGGAGAAAAATTGGGAGCATCTGATCACAACACTGAAGCTCTATTTGATAACTGCTGTTAGAAACAGTGACAAGATAGCAATTGGCATCTAGAAACAAAGAATGATTACCTGAGAAAAACATTTTAGAGAATTGTTTTAGTTCTCAGACTTAAGGACCTGTATCAAAATATCCTTAAATACAGTTCTAAGCATTTTGGGTGTTAACCATAACTTCCCACCTTTGGGCCTTATCAAGTTGCATACTGTAAGACCATGTATCTACAAAGCACTGCAGATAACATCATTCTCCCTTTTCTTACATGACTTGATCATGTAGTTGTACAAAATCATCAGATACTGTTTTTTGCTGCTGTTCTTCCAAGACACTTCAATTCTCCCATGAATAATTACAAAGTGGAAAAACTTTTCATCACATAGCTACACCTCTCCATATTTTTCACTAGAGCTTCACCAATGCATCTTCTGAGAAAACAGAAAATTGGTGAAGAGAGTGCAGTTCAATAACTCAGCAATGACTTCAATGAATTTGAATTGTTCAAGTTTTCACTGGATTGATGAAGAGTTTCTGCAGCCCAGCTGCAGCAAGCTGGCAGCAATAAATTCTCCATACACTGCAAACTAAGTATCTATTTCTTGACTGTTTCTAAACACGTGGAAGCTAGAGGTAAAGTCTCTCATTTTACAACTCGATACTTGCTTCTTTTCTTATTTCCTCTAACAAAGGTACTAGTGTAAGGCCAAATAAGAATAGAACTCCCTGGAAATGCCTGCTGTGAGAAGTGTCTTAGCATTTCTTCATGAAATTTCAAAACAACAGCTTAAGGGCAACTTTTTCCATTAGAAAACAAGTTATTTGAGGGAGTCAGTAGTTATAATAAGGGCCGCAGTACAACAGATACATTGAATTACTTATTTTTCAATCTGAATGTACAATCCTCAAAGTTCAAAATACTTTCCAAAATTCCACATTTATTATCTGCAAAGACAAACTCACATGGACTTTAGAGCATGTAAATACAACTATAACAAGACAGACAAGTCTGAAGTTTTGTTTTTTCTTTCCACACAATAATTCTGAATGAAATTAAATGCTAGCCTATATAAGGCCATAATCCCGACTATATTGCCCATATTTTCTCTTTGTTTTTTTTGGCATATTTCCTCACTGAAATGTTCAGTTTCTTTAGAACATTTAAATGGGTATTTAGTGCTAACAAAATAACACTATTCTTACACTACTACTACTAATAAAAATGTACTGCAGAGATATACCTGGATGAAAGAAAAAGAATGTAGTGTTCCTTTTCTACCTACATATCATGATATTACCAGGAACGATTACTGCTCAATAACCATAACCATCAAATGGCGGCTTTTAACCTGCACAGTGACTACTTAACAATTTAAAAAATCACCTGTCTTGTACTACTGAAAACTTTTAACCTTCTGAAATGAATTGCTTGAACTGTTTCTCCACCAAAGTAGGAAATGCATTTATACATCTTGTATTTCAATTACGGAAGATATCATCAAATTCATACAGGTTTAAGAAACTTCTTTTAAAACAAGAATTCTGACACATGGCAGGATTCCTGTCTATCATAACAGACAATCTAATTCATAGCAACAACTGCATTAATCATACAAACCTAAGCAGTAGGAGAAAATGTATGGCAATTATAGATAAGCTTCATGACAGAAAAAGAGTAGTTTGGCTTGCAGAATGGCAAGGTTTTAAGAAAAGCAAAAGATATTTACATTGCTAAGTGGGTATTGTAGAACTCAGGATTTGTAAACATGGACTTTGATTAGGAAAAGGACTTCTCTTTTACATACTGCTGATAGGAATAGCCAGAAGTCCATAACAAACTTGAATAAAGTTCATTGTGGGTCCCCAAATAAGGACAGATTTTTGATTGTGCTGAAGCATTGCAGACCAGCTTTTTACTAGAACAGTTGTAACAGTGAGCTGTAAGTGAAACCCAATGATTGCAACGTTTGCACATGCCACGAAGTGTGACATCCCATACTGTATTTGTTGTTATAATTTTGATTCAAAAGAATTTGATTCAAAGATGGAAGGAGAAGCTGTACATGAATTACCTCAGTGTTCTTTTAGTAAGTGTATAAAGTACTTTTTTTTAGTAGGTGTATAAACCTTCAACATGGCACACAAACACAGAAAACAATACCTATGCCTTCACAGAGACTGCATCAGAAATGAACAGAAAATATTTGAAAATGTTCATTTTTGCAAGAAAGGCAAAAATTCAGATACAAATAACAAATATCAGTTCAGTAAAACTAACATAACTATGAAACACAAGAGTTTTAGGCAAATATTATCACAGAGTCCTGTACTGCATGAAAAACTGATGTTTGGTTGAATCCATGTAAGATCAGTACAAATATTCTATTGAAGTTGAAAGTAGAAGTCCATCAGTACCTGTTCTATTGGAAGCTGTTAATCTTACTTGTTTCAAATTAATCCTCAAAAGTTTGTATTGCTCACAGAAACATCCTAGACCTCCTCAAGGAAACCCATTATGGGAAAAAGCAATATATCTGAAAAGTGTTTTCAGAATCCTATGAAAGTTTATGAAATTTACTGTTATTGCTGAGTGAAAAACATTACTGTCTTCCCTTGTAAGAAAATAGCAACAAAGCAAAATGCATAAATCTTACAGAAATCATCTTCATCATGACAAAATGCTTGCGTGGAACTTTATCTGTGCAAGCCTGAATTTAAAATGAAATAATCCTTCTGGTAGGACTACATTTTGTAAACAATGGCACACCAACATAATGACAGCATGGCTTTCTACCACAAACGCACCACTAGACACAGCCACAACATATTAATAACACCAATACTGTAACAGAGCCATATTGTATCACGATCATTACATGTGAAAATAAGACCTGGTACAATTCAAAGGATGACTTTTATTGTAGAAATAAAGCCCCTTACCTTGAAAAGACTGTTTGGCTCTGTCCACTAGTTCTTCAATGGGATAGCTTGCTAGGTCTCCCCTGGCATGCTTAGTTTTGCAGTAAGTACATGCATTGAGACACCTGTTTAGGAGATGAAAATATTCAGTTTCTTCCCAAGAAAGCCTTTATGTGCACAACTATCTTAAGAACACCTGAAAGAAAGCGCTTTTATATGCACAACCAAAAAATAATAGTATTCTGTTTTAAAATCAACAAACTAAACTGATTTGAAGTGAGTTTGGATCTCATACTTCCTTAAAATATCCTTCACATTTACAAAGAGGATGAGAAAAGTGATCAGTAGAAAACATGTATTCTAATTCAAAGAGAGGGAAATCACATCTTTTTAGAAAGCTATAACGGAATTAACAGTTGTTCACTACTAAATCATTACTAAAGACAAATATCCAAACTTTCAGTCCCACTATTACACAAAAATTCTTAGCTGAACAAGGAGGGGAAAATAAAAATTAATAAATCATGAAAACTATGCATATACTTTAACTAGTCTGTATCCTTGAAAACACATTTGAGTTGGATTTTCCTTATTACATTTAGCTTTTATAAGCAAAATAAATAATGTAATAAAGACCAAATCATCAACAGGGACAACAGGTTGGTACAAAAGATCTCGGAGCTTGTACAAGTCTCCCATAAGAAACTAGAGGAACAAAGTAAATGCTTTTAATTTACTTGATATGGTAGTAAAGGCAGATTCATTCAAAGTAAGAGCAGGGAAGGATAAAACAAACAAACAAACAAAAACCATATCACTCACTGCAGGTTTTTCTTGGATTAGCCTTTGGATCCTGGTCATACCATGAATGTAATAAACATGTTAAGATGAGTTCATTGTACTTCTTTTTCCCCCTTCTCCCTCTTTACAGCTGACCTGGGCCTACATTTTTAATAGGTTAAATTGCTTCAAACTTTAAAAAAAACAACAACTCTTGTTCATGGCTATTGGATCTTAAATTCTTACAGCTTCAACATATTAAAGGATTTGGGTGCTGAAAAAAACTAATGCTGGAACTACAGGAGTATTATTATATAACTTTCAAAAGAGTAATGAAGAGGCTTATATAGAACCAGGTGGTTTCTCAAGGATAAGGCACCAGCTACAAGGCTGTTTACCACTTCGATATACTAACTTGTCTTCTATTAGTGTCTAATAATTCCATGAGTAGCTAATACTGCTTTGTAAACTGTAAAGGTTTCCCTTCCCAAAGATTCCTCTCACACACTGGTTGTACCTTAAAAAAGAATTCTAAATCTGAACCTTCACAACCTGCTTCAGGTGATTCATTCCCACTCAAAGACAATTTTTCACCTGTCAGACCTTTTTTGTTTCTTGCTTTTCTTTTGCAAATCAAGAGCCTTTTACTGTGCAGGATTTAAATCTTATTTAATAGAGTAGCATTTGAAATCAAGAGTATGAACAGATAATTATTTTATGCTTGACTTGTGTCCCCTGTTTAGGCAACAAAAACATCTTCTACTATGTGCTAAAAGAGGGGAGATTTAGATTAGTGGCTAGGAGGAAATTCTTCACTCAGAGGGTGGTGAGGCACTGGCACAGGTTGCCCAGAGAGGCTGTGGATGCCCCATCCCTGGAGGTGTTCAATGCCAGGTTGGATGGGGCTTTGGGTAACCTGGTCTGGTGGAAAAAGTGTCCCTGCCCATGGCAGGGGGTTGGAACTGGGTGATCTTCAAGGTCCCTTCCAACCTGAATCACTCTGTGGTTCTATTCTATGTCACTGGCCATCTGCAATATGTCACACAGGGCTTTCTTTCCCTTATAGTCCCAGAGGGCACTCAATTCTCCATTTCCCATCCATGATTCTTTCAAACACCTTCAAACTCTTCCAGGCTTGCAAAGACCATCTCCCTCTTCTCCCTCCCCTTCGCTTTTTTTGATGACAACTCTCCATTCAACCCAACACTTCATTTCTAAGACAGCTGCCCTCCAGTCATCCCACTGCCACACTCCTTCCTCTCCACATCATTCACTTTCTTTCTTAGCCAGCTTTCTTCCCCAAAAGAAGCATTACGGATTGGTGACGCTTGTGGCCACATCCTCACCATACTGCTACCCTTGCCATCAGCAGCCTGGTGCGGTGGTTGGCACTGGCTAACAGCCAGCTTCCACCTGACACTTGCTCACTCCTCCCCTCAGGGGCAGAAAACAAGGAAGAATGGCAACCAGAAAGCTTGTGGGTCAAGAAAAAGGTGAGAAGTTCACTCACAAATTGCTGTCATGGGAAAACCATGGGGAAAATTAATTTATTGCCAGGTAAATAAAAACTTAATCCCAAACCTTTCCACTCTCTTTCCCAAGCTTCACTTCGCTCCTTCACTCCAGTCTTCAAGACACATCCTGCCCTGAGCAGCAAGGACTAGCACAGGGCAGCCCTGCTAGCACCCAGGCACCCAAACACAGTATGCGGGGCTCCAAAGTGCTGAAAGAAAATGCTGGCATGGGAGAACGCTGCAGGCAAAGCGCTATCTATATCTTTACAAGGACACCTTATAAGCAGTCCCATCAAACGCCGTGTAACAAAGATGTTTGTTACTGCATCCTTACAGCTTGAAAGCCTGTATTCATTACAGCTCCAGCAGGGTAGGCAAAACTCCTCTGCCACTTAAAGAAAAATAATACTGAGTGAATAAACAAATAAATAGAAACATTTACCTGTTACATATATGCTGACCTGCAGGTGTTTTGTTTGTTTTTTCTTTTTTTTTTCTTTTCTTTTGGTTTTCAGTTGAATGTTTTCAGTTCTACTTTCATTTCAAGGAAATTCAAAATCTGTTTCATAGAGTGGAAGCGTCTGCTCTTTTGCAACAATACATAATTGTTTGGCTTACACTGGTGATATTTGCACTAATCTTTGTTTGTTTTTTTTTTTTTTGTTTTTTTTTCCAAAGCAAGTAAAATTGCTGGTTATTTTGACAATTTTCTCAGGTCATTAAGAGCAGACTTAATCTGAAACAATCCTGCCCCATGACCCCAGCCATGCTCTCCACTTTAGATTTCTGGTCTAGGAATGTCTGAAAATGTCTGAAATGAAAATGTCTGAAAAATCCTAGGTCAGACATCACAACATGCATATGCACACTAACCAGACTTTCCTTCACCTTTCTCTAGTGTCTAGAAGAAATTTTATATTCCCCAAAGCTCATCATTTCCCCCACTGGTACCATAAAACTAAAGATTACTTAAACACTGTCCCTTCTATCCAAAAAGGAGAATTTTTTCAGCCATCACTAAAGGGATGTACGAAGGCTTTATTTCTTGGGATGAAGTGAATTTTTAAACTCAAATTTAATTTTACATTTTTCTTCCTTAAACTAGGATTTGGGAAGAAAAAAAAAGATACCAATAACTTTTACTATTTACTTCAATTTACAAACTCTAAATACAAATTTGTTAGAAAAGTTTGTGTTTCAATTGAAAAATTACTACCAATTCTTTGCCACCTTTAACTGTAACTGCATGAAAAGGAAACTTTTATGGACCTTCTTCAAGATGGGTTACTTCATCATAAGCTTGATAACAATCTATAATTTCCGCAGCACTGACATTTAAAATAAACTTCTAACTTTATTCCTTGGTGATAGATATAAATAGCACAGAAAGTGAAATCCTAATATTCCAAAACGTTCCCATGTCTTTGCAAAAGTGTCTGGTCCACAGCCTGATTTCAGAAAGGACAAATCAAGTACTGGACAAATGGAATTCAATTTGGTAAGTCACGCCATCACAAATCACACTGCAACATAATTTAGTGATAGGTTTTAAAAGTATATCATTAAATGCAAGACGACCCCATGAGTATTATTTTTAAGTAATAAAATTACAATTTTGTTATTCATTATATTCATTATTAGGTTCCCCGACTTTATAACATTTTGTGTCTTTTGTTTTTTAAACTTCTTTACAAATTGTGTTCGTGTATATATACACTTTTTTTTCCCCCTCTAAATAAAATATTAAGGATATGATCGCCTTTATCCTGAAAGAAGATACGAGCAAGGCAGAAGCCACAGAAAAGAAACAATTCATCAAGGTTATTTAGTTTGAATGCAAAGTGCAGAATATGAATAGCATTATCTACTGATCTAATATGAATGGATGAGCCAAAATCTAAACTAGCATCAGCATACAGTAAAAAGGATTGTTTACGCTATTTACATAGATTTTGTTTCATTGCCATATTGTTCCATTTAGAACATAAAGAAAATAGTATATTACCTCTTGCTCTTTTGCTTATAGTTTACGCATAAATCATAAATGTATTAGTCACTGTATGTATTTTGCTCTGCATTTGGATAATAGTATTTATTATACAGCAATAGTACTATAGTACCAGCAGAACTAAGTACTACTAAGCACCAGTACTAAATAATGAAGTTATAAATCTCTGAACCTTGCAAATAAGTTTCATATCTTCAATATTCTTTTTCTAAAAAACCTAACAGTTTTTGACTCATCTCTTACTGCCTCTTCTCTTTACAACTTGGTATCTAGAAATGTATGAAAAAACACACCTAGCATCCAACCATATTTATAGGAAAGAACAAATACTAGTTTCTCATGCATCCTTAGAGTTGCTTTATAGGAAAATAATTTTTAATGTAAGTCCTGGGCTTGGTTACAGAGAGAGAATGGAAAAGTGCAGCAATAAGTGGGGAAAAAGAAGGGGAAGTTATTCTCCAAATGTTTATGATTGTTTCTAAACGCTTTATTATTATGCTCTTTGAGTATACTTCAGGGGGTCGCTGATTTAATTTTGGGTAGGAGCTGAAAGTTGGGATTTGGAAGCAGACTTTCTACCAAGTCTACACCAATTAATTAAATCCTATTATAAAAATATTGTCTAATGTGTAACTAATTTGGTCCATCTTTTTTTGGTAATCAAAGAGGATAATGAAAACAAAATGAGAGACTTTGATGTAATATCGAAGAGGATGGATTTTAGAAAACAAACAAAAAAAGAATACTTCTAAATCCTATTTGTATTATACTTGTTAATTCCAATTTGGAAAATAATTAATCTGTTGGACTGCAGCTGACCAAA